TATATATATATATATATATATATATATATATATATATATATATATATGCATGAACATACAGATACATTCACACTCAGACTCCACAATCACAGGTGTGGTTTATCAAGGCAGTTTTCCTCAGTTCTGTGAGGTGATTGTTCTTTAGCCATTATGTCAGTGCTGAAAGACAAGCATGTGGCATTTTCACCAAGGGTGTCATCCAAAGTTAATCACTGTGTTGGGTGTTGAACTCCATTGTTCTTTGAAGGTCTCAGGTCTTCTAGATGTTCCCTTTGAGGTATTCCCAAGACATACCCTTAAAACCGAGTATTCTAACAAATTTCTGTGTCAGTGATTGATTTTTACCTTTATTAAACTTCGATTCATTGCACGTAGAGATGGTTTTTATAAAGACAGTTTCTTTCATGTGGATTATGTATTTGGATCATAGTCACCCTCATGCTCCCCTTTCTCACTTGCTACCCACCAACATCCTTCTTTTTTCCCAAGATCTCTTACTTCTGGTTTCATGTCAATATAGGGGTGTGTGTGTGTGTGTTTGTGTAGAGAGAGATAGGTGATTTTATATATCTATATAAAATCCAGAATCCACAAGTGGAAAAAAAAAAAAACAAAAACAAAACATGCGATATTTATCCTTCTGAGTAGGCCTTTTTCACTTAACATGATGCTCTCCAGTTTGTTTCTTTTCCAACAGGCATAACTATCTACTTTATGGTGCCTAAGATATACTGTGGTTATGCCACACTCTTTTTAATTCATTCACCTGTGAACAGATGCCTAGGCTGATCTCAGGCCTTGGATACTGTGACTGGTGCTTCCACAAGCATGGGTGGCAAGAGTACTTGTTGTAACTTGCCTGGGCATTTTGGGGTGCATATTTAGGAGAGAGATTTCTGGGTCACATGGAAGTTCTGTTTTTAGTGCTTTCGGCAATACCATATTGAGTGGATGAACCAAATTTTCCTTCAAGCTCACCAATTTGTTGTTTGTTTCCTTAGTGTTATTTGTTTTCTTAATGATAGTCATTCTGATGAGGGTGAGATGGAATCTAGATGTATGATTTTCTTTTCTCATGAAGTAAGGGGCTGGTGGGGGTGAAACTAGGGGTACAAAGGCTTCTTCTCTTTGATTATCTCTCTCACGTTCAGCAGGTTCAAGGTCAGCTGCCACCTTTGATGATTCCCGTGTTCCCTCCTGACCAGCGGACTTTAGCAGCAGCTGCCCAGCAAGGATTCCTGCTTCCTCCTGGTTTCAGCTACAAGGCTGGGTGTAGTAAGTACTGCTGAGCTTTTAATGCCACAGTGGGTGGGGGACTTGGCTTTCGGTTGGACCATTTAATGTACTTGTCACACCAGGAAATGAGTTCACTTGGCAAGTTTACTTTAGATAGAAGACGCAACAATGATGTTGGAAGGGTTTGAGTTAATACTCATTAGTGGATATGTAATTTTTGTGCCACCAGAGCCAGTACTTATTGTTTACACTTTTATGCCTTCTACTTCTAATGTATTGGTAAAATATGAATATAATTTGGGGGTTCTTTGTTTTTTAGAAATGCCTTTCTATAGTTTTTCATAATCCAGTAAGTTAACCCTGAATTCCCTAGAGAGCATGGGAGCTTTGTGCCCTCCATATAATAATCGTCTGTTGTGGATGGAATGTGAAATGACCCTAAAAGACTTGTGCTCTTGAACAATGCTTACCCCCCAACACAATGATGATGGTGTTTGAGAAAGCTGTGGAACCTTTAAGACACAGATGTGATCATTGGGGGTAGGCCTTGCAGGTCTTTGGCCCCACCTATTCCCTATTTTCACGTTGACCCCTGACTGTGGGTTTTCGAGAAGCCAGCCTTCCACTTAGGACTTCTAGCCCCTTAGGTTGTGGGCCAGAAGCCTCACTTCCTGTCTTGCTTCTTATTGTGTACTTTGTACAGAGCACGGAGAGTAACTGACACTGAACTCAGTTCCTCCTAGTCTCTGATAGACCTTAGCCTCAGCCTTACTCTTTCTGGGTGTTGTTCTTTCACCCCGTGGTTCACTCTCCTGGGTGTCTTGAACCTGCTCCAGGTCATGTCAGGGTGCTTTTCTGAACCTATGCTGAACTCCTCTCCCCTGACCCTGTGGTGTCATGTATGATTCCCCAGTTCTATGTAATATAAAGATAGAAAGACTACCTTTATAGTGTGTGTTAAAATCACAGCTGTAAAGAGGCAAAACATTGCTTACCAGGGAAGTTAGAGTTAATTTCTAGTCAAAGTGTGTAGAGATTCTTTAAAAATCCATCACGGCTCAAAACTCAGGACTAACAATATATAGCTCCAGATACCCGTCTTTATAGTTTTTTATTTATTTAGCCAATATCCCTCCTGACTTGGTTTTCAAAGGAGTCGACACATTGTGTTCTCACCCTGGATCCTTGGCTTATCCATTTCATAATACAATTACGCAGTTCTAATTCTGTAGATCACCACTTAGTCCAGACACACAGAAGTCTTCTTTAAAAAGAACTATTAAGGGTATGCTCTCAAAGTTTAAAATTCTCAGAATAATTTTATATCCTGTTACTCTAAGCCCTGTGTTTTTAAGCATAAAGAGTCTTTGGCTTTATTTAAAGAACTGCTCCTCACTTGAAACACGTGTAGCCAATGTGGTTTTAGTATTTTGTTTGTTTTGTTTTTGTTTATTTGTTTTTGTATTCTAGCTTACTAAAACAGCAAAAAAAAAAAACCTGTTTAAAAAAATCATCTGTTGCCTCAGACTTCATTGCAAAAGATGCATATAACATCATTTTCTTTTCCAAAAGAAAAGTAAGTGTATTTTTAAGCAAACATAGAAGTTCTATTAACAAATACTGTGCAGAAAAGAAAAACATCCTGAGAGTAAACAGTAGCACACCTCTAGCCCCGGGCACAGTTAGGAGCACAGCACCCTTGGCTGTCCTTTGACAGTTAGCATATAAATTTGTCTAGTCTCAATGGGTTACACACTGAATCTTGTTTTCCCTTGTGGGAACAGTTGGAATTTTAACTGTTTGATATTCATGTCTTTAAATGCTTAAAGTTATAAACAATGCCACTTCTTCAGTTACCTTAGAAATAAAACAGAATAAAGCTTTTACTGCTGCTGGCCAACTCCAGCTTGGCACCTTGCCAGACTCTAGACCGTAGCCGAAGTAGGCTGTGAGGAAAAGTGGGTGCCTGTGTTAACATGGGGCTTTGGGGGCGAGCCTTGAGGAGGAGCTGGGGGGCATGACAAATAATAGTCCAGACTGTCTCTTCACCAGTCACATTGCTAGGAAAGAAAGTGGGGAGCTAAATAAAGCCTTCCAACCTGTCTTCAGGGTGACTCCTCACCTGTTTGCCTGTGCTTGTCAACCTGATTTTTGTATATGGCAGTTGTTTTGAGTGTTAATGACGCAGTTCTCGGTGACAGGCACTGACCAGTCCTCCTACTGTGTGCATCCAAAACCAGAGGCTTTCCCTTGGCTTGTGGAACACTGGGTGAAGGTTTGTTCAGGAGCTAAAATGTAGAACTACAAGTGTTCCCTGCTATCATGGGCTGAGGAGCCTGGCCACTGAAGCCCGAGTCAACAAATCTTATTCACAGAAAAAGAGGCTCCTGGGAGCGTAGAGGTATTGTATTGTTCCTGTTTTGGAAATAATGATAAAAACATTTCCTGCCATGGAGTAAACAAAAAAAAAAATTGTCACATAGCTCTCCCTACCAGAACAGATACACAGGCTGACAGCAGCAGAGGAGAGCAGCAGAGACATCAGGACTGGTCAAGTGCACAGACAGGAGCACAGGATAGTCTCTTCCAGGCTGTCCTGCCAGGCTCTGCGTCAGTCCACAACCACGAGTACTGATAACATACTCTAACGTTCCATTTGGGCACTTAATAAAGTCATGCACAAAAATGCACAAAGCCATACCTAGTTATTCATTTTCTTACTTTTTTTTTTAAGACAGGGTAGCCTGAACTCGCTTTCTAGACCAGGCTGGCCTTGAACTCATGGAGATCTTCCTGGATGTCTACCTGAGTGCTGAGATTACAGGCTTGTGCCACCACGCCCTGCCCTACTTATTTCTTAAGACCTAAAATGTACTTCTAAAGTTCTGTGGAGTTAAAAATAATGGCATTTTGTTTATTATTGTCATCATTGCTGTTGGGCATAGACACAAGCTCACTCTGTAGTCTAGTCCTCCTACTTCAGGCTATAGCATCTTGGGATTAGGGGTGTCAGTCTCCATATTCAGTGCATCATAAAGATGAATTAGTAAACTGAATGTCATCTTAGGAGAGATAGGAGGCCTGGATTTGAAAAAGTCGTATGTAAACAATTTGGGTAGGTTAACTCTATATTGCCCAACTCACTTAAAAAAGTTAAACAATAGTTCTTTTAAAACTTGGTAGTTCTTTCTAAACTCTTAAATGGGCTGCAATATGAAGAATAACTTTATAATGTATAACTTAAAATTCCAAGTCTAATGCAGATCTGACAGTACTAGCTCAGTGGAAGCAGAAAATAATCATGATAGCCTATTAAATAAGTTTGGAATGCAAAGTACCCAAGATGTTGGCCCTGAATTACAAGTCAAGTGGGTACAGAGACAGTTTAGTCCAATCGCTCCAAGTGTCTCAGCAGTGTATTTACACAGTCCTCTGAGGAGAGCCGTAACTTGTGAGGGAAAACCGTCAACCCATGAGCTTTGGGGCTTCTGCCAATACCTATCTTCAAATGAAGGTTTGGGCACCTTTACCGCCTGCAGAAGTACTTTGTGTTGAGAGGAAGACACATTCCCTGTGGTTGTTCATCTGGGAAAAATCAATCCTACCTTAGAGCGAGGAGATAAATTTGTCATGTGTGCGTGTTGGTGTACACCCAACACTTTCAGCTCGGGGCAGGCTTTACTGACCTCGGCTGGTGGAAGGGCTGAAGCTTGCTCTGCTGTTTCCTCTGTCTCCGGGGCCCTTCCCTCTGTGACTTTCAGCGGATAGTGTCCAGGAAAGTCCCTGTCCCTCCACTGTGTAGTTTAGAGCCATAGTTGGGAGGAGCAGATGACTCAGTTACTGGTAGCTGTAGCCCTCTGCATTGCCTTTCTCCATTTGGGCACAACATTTCCAATCCTATAATTCTCATAGTCACACCCACTGGAAATTCTGACAGGGAGGCATTTTATATGGAAATAATAAAGTCTCAAGAAAAGTCAAAATTCAATAAATGAACAACTTTTATGCACACTGTAAAAGTAAGTTGGAAAAGAGCTGGCTTGACCACTTAGCACAAGGTGTGGAATTGAATGTGTCACGTGGCTGTCGACACAGAGTCTACTTGCTAGATGGACAGGACTACGCCTCATGCCAAGGTCCTCAATGTGGTCTTGGTTAAGTTGCTGGGCATTTTAAGAATTCAAAAGAATACAGAGGGATCTATTTGGCACTTTGCAAACTTCCATACTTAAGCTGGGTGGACTCTTCCACTTAATAAGGGTGAGCGGCTGGGTTTTTCTCTCTTCTTGAAGGTGGCTATGCCATGGAAAGTGCCTTCACCCTGGATGGTTTCAGGGCTTTAATCGTGGTGTTTCTTGCGGTGGTGGTTTTCCAGCTCTGTTGCTCCTTTATATTTTAAACCAGGAAGTTGTCATGAACATAAAGTAACAAAACGTATTCCCACATAACTTACAGAACTATGCATACTGCTCTGAGGATAATCAATTCATAGACCTGTAGCAGCTGATCCCTTCCTGGGTATGATTGCAGGCCTTCTGTTGCATTTGTTTTGAGAAATTTGCCCAATTCTGAACGGGCAACAGCAAATTATGAAGTACTTAGAATGGCAGAGTGTGGAGGTGCAATGGGGTTCTAAGATTTGCTGCTTTGCTCCTCCTCCAGCCAGTGTGGCGGCTTCAAAGAGAAATGCCCCCACAGGCTCAGGTGTTTGAACTCCTAGTCTCCAGTTGGTGGCGCTGTTTGAGACAGTTGCGGAGGCTTTATGAGATAGAGCCTTGATGGAGCAGTACCTCACTGTGGATAGGCTGATGCTTCCTTTGTGTAGATGGATGTGGTATCTATCTCCCAGCTCTGCTTTTGCTCCCGTCTGTGTGACAGGGTTTCCCTGATACCACAGGCTCCAATATAGACGCATGCAGCCATGGCTGGCTCAAGGTGACTCATTACAGGAGTAAATACATTCAGACTTTAGTAGCTAAATCTGACTTCCTTAAAGGCTTTAACTTATAAATTTTGGAGAAGAAAGAGAATTAGGGGTC